CATTTTTATAGTAAAATTGCCAGCATCTCCAGGTCAAGTACTGATGTACTGAAGATAATTGCGGAAAGAGCCCATCAAGCTAGAGCATGATAGATTCCTTCCGCAATTATAAAAAAAAAACGGTGAAGCCTGGGCTGTAGCATCTCTAAAGCTTTTGTTAGGGTCTGGCATACAGGTCTTCTTCACAAGCTGAAAAGTTACGGTGTCTCCGGACATAGTATTGAGCTGGTCTAGTGTTACCTGTCAAATCGCGAAATAAAAGTTAATCCTGAAAGGCTCTCAAGTTGGCATCTATGCTGACGACGCAACTATTTAATCTTTGCCTCAATTGTAAGACTGATCAGTCCGACAAGGTTAAAATGGCGGCTGATGTCCAAAACGACTTCAAGTCCGTCGTTAACTTTTTTTTTTTTTTTTTTTTAAGCATTTCACCCCAAGCAAGGCGGGGAGCCACTAGGACGCAAGGGGTTACAGAAAATAGGAAGATCAGATAGGAGTGATAGAAGAAAGGATAAGGGTAGTAGATAGATTAAGGCAACTGGAGATGTCGATTGACATTACACTTGAATAGCTGGAGATTATAACTCACAGGGAAACAGGAGAAGGGAAGAGAGTTCCACAGGCGAGAGGTGCGAGACATGAAGCTATTAGAGTAGAAGAGACGGCTACATTTAGGAGTTTCGACAGTGAAGGGGTGAGAGCGGGATGCCAGCCTCGTAGGGCGCTTGAACTCATGAAGTTTGGGAACCAGCGAATGCAGTTCCTCGGAGCAATTTCCATGAAAGTATTTGTAGAACAGACAGAGGGAGGCGACAGTGCGTCTGTGAGAAAGTGACTGTAGACGAGACGCCAGGGCAGGGCCAACCATATTGCATATCCGCTTCTGGAGCCTATCAAGAACCCCGAGGCAAACAGAAGGGGCGCCAGACCATATATGGCAGCAATACTCCATGCAAGGGCGAATTGTGGATTTGTATAGCTGGAGGATCGACTCAGGGGAGAAAAACTTCCTAGCGCGGCTCAGGGAGCCAACTTTCCTCGCAGTGGACGAGGCAATTGACTCGATGTATTTATTCCATCTCAGGTCAGCAGTCAACGTGAGACCGAGAAGCCGCAGAGAGTTGCTCTCGAGAAGTTGAGCGTCAGACATTCTAATGGAGGGAAGGGAAGGCTCTCTGTGGGGATTAATAGAGAGCAGTTTTGTCTTCGAAGCGTTGAAGTTGACCGGCCAAATCATGCCCCAGTTTACAATCGATTGGAGGTTCTTTTCGAGACGCACGGCAAGGTGAGTTTTGTCAGCGAGACTGGATTTGTTTTTGAGGCAGGAATAAATTGTGGTGTCATCCGCGTAGATGCCGACTTGAGAAGTTACGGCGTCAGGAAGGTCATTTATATAGATAAGGAATAGAGTGGGGCCTAGGATGGAGCCTTGAGGAACACCTGCGTTCGTTGGATAGGAACTGGAGGAGAATCCGTTGACTGGACAATTACCGATGAAAGTATGTATAGAAAAGACACAGGGAAGCAACCTTACGATGGTGGGAAAGTGACTGAAGCCGAGTCGCCAGGTCAGGAGCTGGTCTTCAGATTTTATCAACAATCTCAAAATATATAGCAAAAGCACCAGTTCCGATGTGGTAGAAATATACTAAGCATGGGAGAATGTTATACTTAAGATTCTGGAGAGAAAACGTGTATCGCACGATAAAGTGAATCACTTTTCTAAGCAGCTGACCTAGAAGTGGATTCAGTATAATCTTTCCACTTCATGTCAGCCGAGAATGTTAGCCATATATGGCGCAATGAGTCACTCTCCTGGAGGTTAGCATTAGCCATAATGATGAAATGCAGAGCGAGGGTGGTCTCTCAGATTGTTAATAGAAAGCTTTTTTTTTTGTTTGTTTTGGAGGTGTTAAAATTAACAAGTCATTTTCTTTACTCCAGTTAACAGTTGACTGTCATTTTGTTGCTTTAGCCACCAAATTGACCTTATGGAACTTACTATCGAGACTGGAGTAAATAGTTGTGTGATCGGCATAGATACCTAATTGAAAGCTGATGTCATTGGGAAGGTCGTTAATGAAAATTAAAAAAAATAGTTCCCAAATAAATCAATCTTACCTAGCAGTTCAAAGAGTTTATTTTATCAAATGCTTTTGCATAATCTATAAAATATAGATGTACATACTCTTATATTTGTATTGTTATATTCGATAACATTCTGAACATGAATTTCGCATTCCTTGTTCCAATGTCTTTAACGGAAGCTTGCTGTTCATGTCCTATTTCCGGTTTAATTCTGCTTGATTTCTATTCATGAGAATTTGGTTTGGTTTGTTTTATGGCATATCAATCTCAATGGGTTATTTAATGCCGACAAAATTTTTATTTCTGGTAATATTTTTTCTTCAAAAATGTATAGCTGGTAATATCTTTTTTTTTTTCAAAAATGTATTACAAAGTATTTCTGGTATTAAAACCTGTTTTTACATTTACATAGTGTTTTGACCCCAGTTTTGTGGGGGGAGGAACTATTTGCCCATAGTTGGGATCCTAACAGGTGCTACCACCCCAGGTCAGGGTGGACCTGGGAACACCAGCAATAAAGAGGTGGTTCCACGCTCCTCAAAACCTTCTGATCAGAGGCCTTGCTGTTGGATGTAGTTTATCGTCATACCCAGGACGGTTCTGAGAATTTGAATGATAAGATATGGTTCATTAGGCTGATTATCCAATGAAGTTCGCAGTTGTTCGCAAGTGACTTCTTGAAAATAATCAACAGAAGTCCTCTGGCATATCACTCCGATTGTATTTAATATTTCTGTAATTTTGTCAATGCTGAAATTATCTACGGCTGTCACCACCCTTATTATAAAGCCATCTGGTCCTACTGTTTTGCGGTGAACGGACATTTGCCTCCCAGACAATTGCGTACCAGACAACTGCGTCCTAGGGTAATTGCGTACCCCTGATAATTTTTTGAAGTTAACATTTTAAAAAAAAAAAGAGTTGTTTAATATAGAAATTTACACACCATTACCTTTAAACAAGCAGAAAGTTAGTTACGATAAATAAAAAAATTCTATTTTAAAGCAAGAGAAAATTATGCTAGCAGTTATAGTTTACTCCAGCAGAGCGTACCACAAACATCTAATAAATCCTGGATTTTATAGATTATATTTTTATTTGGAACCCATGACTATGTTCCGAATATCAAACTGTTCTGTCGGAAACCTACCACCCCTCTTGAAGATGAACTTGTCTGCGTCTGTGAACAGAGACTTTAAATAGTGACATGTCGGTTGACATGGGGACGATAGATAGACAGAGAGGGTAAGAACTCCGAGTCTATCTGAGTCGTGATACAGTCTTTGGCTGTAAGCGACGTCTGTCGAACTCTCTGCCTTGAGCAGAGAGGAACCCGGACGAAGCTTTGCTGAAGGGCAAGGTTTCGTTCGGGGAGGTAGACAGGGCCTGAACCCGTCTAGGCGGGTTCAAAGGCTATATTTTTGGCCGGGCCTACGGGCTCGGAGATACCCACATTAAACCGGCCTTGTGCCATATTCAATCCTCGTGGGTGGATCGATAAATACTAAGATAGATAGACAGAGAATTTCTTAGCTGAGCTAGTTATTGACTACTCAGGCGATTTCTGTACCTTTTTACCAACCTATTAAAACCCATTTTATTGTTACGTGTTATTTGGCGTTTGTCTCTACTAACCCCAAATTAACATCATAACACAAACACTGGTGGAAAAATATTTGTGGACGAAGAAACCTACAGCCAGCATTATCATTAGAAAAACGCCGATGAAACAAAAACATACTGGCGATATATAGAACGATCTTGCAACACTGTTAATCTGCCACTGCATTTTAAACAAAAATAAACTTGTAATTTTTTTTTATTTCTTTTATTTCTTTTGTAAACATTTATGATTAGGACCTATGCTTTTTTTTCAGAATTTATAGTAATTGATTTTAAAAGCGTCAAAGAATTATCAGAGGTACGCAATTATCCAGAAATGCATTTGTCTAAGGACAGAAATGTCCTGGGACGCAGTTGCCTGGTACGGGTCGCAAATGTCCACTACGAAACCTTTCTAGAGCCCTGTTTTGCATCTCTTCAATTTGCCCAGTGCTGAATCATTTGAGACTTTAATAATTCTGGTCCTTCCATATTATTGAGTATTACGTGTTTGGGGTTTTCGTTTTGGAATAATTTCTGTCGTTCTGATTCCATCTTGAAGTTTTTTTTTATTTTTTATTCTTTCTCTAAAATCAGCACAACTGAGTTAAATAGTGTGACACACTTCTTGTCCAGACTTTCGCTTATTGATTACTTTCTGTTCATTTCGTTGTGCCCACTTCTGATGTTATTGCAAAGGTTAACAATTCGTTCTGTCGCTAAATTGAATTCTATGCGTTGAGTTGTATCGGCGGGCCGAGTTCAAATCCCACCTAGGCTGTCGTATTCATATTCGAATTAATGCAGTTGTCAAAGACACAAATCGATCTTTTCTCCTTCCGCTAAGCTACAAGTGGGAGAGCAGTGTAGACTTTGGATTGTAGCCAGTCTAGAAAGAAAATACCGAATAAAGAAAAACAGGAATGAAGCAGCGTGAAACCGTTCCGCTATCTTTCCCCAGAAGGCAGGACGGTTCACAGATAATAAAGAAAATATAATGCATGGTGAGCCAGGATAGGTTCATGATGTGACGAGACGTGTCATTTTTTTAAAAAATGGCTTAATATACAATAGATGAATGACATTTTTTTTTTTCAGAAAGAAAACATTCGAATTTGTACACACATCTAATATTTACCGTCTCTACTTCAATGTCATTTGGACGCTATTTACTATGTCACTTGTTATTGTTGAAAGTAGTTGTGTTTTTTTTCATCATTATTTTAAAAGCCAGTAATTTTCCATCACGACTGTTATGGTTTCCACGTTGGTTTCGATGTTATTGATCTTGTATTTCTTTTTCTGCACATATGCTTATATTCATTTTCTTCTTTCAATTTCCCTTTCTTCTTTCTTTCTTTCTTCTTCTTCTTCTTCTTCTTCTTCTTTCGATTTATCTTTCTTTTATTTTATTTTCCCCTACTATCTTTTTATTCCCTATCATGATCTTTTTTTCCGTTTGTATTTCTTTCTTTATTTCGTAACATTCCTTTTCTTTTTATTTCCTCTTATTTTTATCTCCTTTATCCACTATTTTCTATGAAAATATTTCCTTTTTCTCCTCCCCCCTCTCCTTCTTATTTTCTTTTCTTTCTTCTTCTTCTACATTCAATATTTCCTCTCATTTTTCTTTCGATTTTTTTTTCTTGTTGCTGTCAACTCTTTCCTCTGTCTTAATTAGCTTTGTACTTTTTTTTTATTTCTTTCTACTTTTTGACTTTTTCTCTTGTTGTTGTTGTTTCTCTTGTTCTTCCTCCTCCTCTTTTTCTTCTTATTTTTCTCCTTTTTTCTCCTCTTTTTCATCTCTTTCAAATTCTCGATTTCTTCTTCTTCTTCTTCTTCTTCTTTCCTCTTTTTTCATCCATTTCTCCTTTTCAACTTCTTTCTCCTCTTCTTTCTCCCCTCCTCTTCTTCTTTTTCTCCTTTTTCTATCCTTTTTCCATATTTCTTCTTCTTCTTCTTCTTCTTCTTCTTCTTCTTCTTCCATCACCTTTTTCCTCCTCCCCTTTTTTTTCTTCTTTTCCCTCCTCCTCCTCACTTCTTCTTTTTCCTTTTCTCATTCTATTCTCATTTCTATTCCCTTGTTCTTCTTCGTCCTCCTCCTTCACTTCTCCTCCTTGTATCTTGTTTTTTCATTTCTTTCTTTCTTTCTTTCTTTCTTTCTTTCTTCTTCTTCTTCTTCTCACTTTCCCCTCCTTTTTCTATCCTTAACACTTTCTCATCATTGACCTTTATTTTTTCTTTCATTTTTCTTCTTCATTTTGCCATTAGCTTCATTCTCTCACAAGCGTTTTTAATTCTTTCCCATCAACGTAAACCATCTTTAACGAAAAAGAAGAAAAAAAACATTGGAACAAACGACCAATAACGACGTATATAATTCACCTACGGTTTTCATAAAAGTGACAATCACTTAATAATAACAGTAAACGACATGATACAAAACTATTTGCGAATTACGACATAATTTGTTTATCTGCGCCTTTGAGTAGCAGTCTTCATGTTTTGTCCTGTGGCCTTTTCTTGTAAAGAAACAAAATGTTGTCCTAACCTTTTTCATTTCGTTCATGCTATCCAAGAAATTTTAGAAAAAAAAAAAAAGTAGGTGAGTGAGGTGGATGGTTGATCTCAACAATTTCAGAAGCGTCCCCCGGAGAGTTTTAGATTTGGGATGTTTTCGTTCGACGAATGGATCCTAATTTTTCTGTCTCTGTCCCAATATATCGAAAAAGTTCTCGGTGAATCAGCTCGTTTAACATTGATTGACAAAAGGGGTCACCGTTTTGTGAGATTGCAATAACATAATCGACGATAAAAAAAAATATCGCATGAAGAAAATACGTACAGACAAAGGTGGGTTCCTATAGACACTAACATTCAACGACGTACAAATAGAAGGACCGAAATGGGAAGGCACTTCAATATAGTTCGGTTATAAACACTTTTCTATTCGATGAAGCAAATTCGTTCAACGTCTTAATTTTATGAAGTTTTTCAATATGTAAATACATTTTAAGTCAAATGATATTAAAACAATGTTAAGTTAAACCTAAGCAAATATTTTTAATGAAAAATGTAATCACCGTTATATTCAACAACAGAGACTTAAACGGAAAGCAAATTATCACTTCTACTTTTAAATGAAATTTTTTCTTCTAGAAAATGTCTGAAAATTGTTTTCAACTTCTTTATTTCTGAATGTCCCGCCGCTTAAATGTTCTTGCGATAGAAATATATATTTTTAAGTACTAAATTTGTGAATATGGTAATTATAGTATTAGCCGTTTCCCTATAAGGAAACATTTGACATTCATTGACCAGTCAATACTTCTGATGAAATTTATAAAATCTTTCTCTTAAAACGATTTTTCAGGAAAATAGGTTACTCAAGTCCTGTAGCTATTATAACTCTTTTTAGTATTGATGAAAGGTTTCCTTCCTAATCTTTTATTTGAAGTAATGTTAGTTGGTTGAAATTTTTTAGTGGCATATCAATAGCTATGGGATATTTATTGTCTCAATCTAAATATTTGGAACACAATTTTATGGCTTCAACTAAATATATTTTGAACGCAATTACGTTCCTTCAACTACAGATCAAATGTATTGTTGGTTATATTGTTTTAAAAATGTATCGCTGGTCATTTTATTATATAATAGGTATTTTTGGTTGACACTTTCGTTAATTTATATATATATATATATATATATATATATATATATATATATATATATATATAGTTGGATTGCTGTGAGTTTGTGACACTGGGTTTCACCCTATTTGCGATCGTCAGACAAATTTAAATTGCATATATATTTATATATATATATATATATATATATATGTGTGTGTGTGTGTGTGTGTGTGTGTGTGTGTGTGTGTGTGTGTTTCATTCAAATATTTAAAATTATTATTCGGTCGAGCTAGCTGGGACATTCACGAGTCTATCATACCAACCATCATAGTCCTGCATCAAGGTCGGAAAGTCATTAGAGTGTCATTCTGTGCCAAAACATCGCTGGTTAACATAGGTGTTTGCTGGGCGACCAGCCTGTTTTGCGCCATGGCCAGGCGTCCAGAGCACTAGATCACTCACTAGTTCTTTTTTTTTTTTTGCTCGCCAGCAATTTCTTGTAAAGAGCATTACGCGTTCGCGTAAGATTGTAGAAATATCAGGGATGGGTCCATAGGGCTGTGATTTAATAATTATAAAATTTGTGAAAAAAAAAAAATGTCTGGACGAAATTATTAACCTATCCCCCCCCCACAAAAACTTTCTATTTTCTATCTGATAATATTAACTCCGACCGTCCTTCTGACACTGTTTCTTGTATGTACCGTGTCCCTTCAGGTCATGGCCGATCATGACTCTCATCAACTTCCTATCTCTTGTAACTATCAGTAGTTTTTGCCAGGCCTCCTGCCCATGTTCCAAGATTCATACATTCACAATAGCTGGTCACGTATGTGACCCGATTCCTTTCCCTACTTTTTTGTTCTCAATAAAAACGATCACATTTTCCAAGCTCTTCTTCCTCATTATGTCCAAGAAAGTTAAACTATCTTTTTCTGATTTTGGGTATGCGGTCTTTTTGTCGCCACTTTTTAAAGGCTTTCTCGTTGCTTACTCGATCTGTCCATGGAATTCTCAGTATCCTTCTGTATAACCACATTTCCATTGCCTACAAGTCTTTTCTTCACCTGTGGAGAGATTGTTCAGCATTCATTGCCATATAAGAGGATTGATATCACATAGCAATCTAGCAGTCTTTTCTTTGCTATTAACAAAAATTGTCTCTTTCTTAGTACTTCGTTCAGCTTTTGGAAGACATCTTTTGCTAATCCAATGCGTATTCTGATTTCGATGTTGAATTTTCCATCCCCTGTTAAAACCCTTCCAAGATATTTAAACACTTATACTTGTTTCCTTTGAGTAAAAAATAATATTTTGTCGCTGTCTGTAAGCATGATTTATATGTTTAAATAGTAATCCTTAAGAGTGAACTTTTTGTTTAAATATGTGTGTACACGCCTATATGTATGTATGCAAGTGTAAATATAAATATGTTGTTGTGTATGTGTGTATACGTATGTGTTTTTGAACATAGAAATATATGTCCTTGCTAGATTAGATAATCGTTATATTTTTATATGTTTATATTAGATTTGTAACCTGGAGTCAATATTACTTTTGCCAAATTTTCTTGATTACACAGGGGACCTTTTATAAATGCCCTTCAGTTTTAGTTCCCCCCACCCCATCTCTCTCCCCCCACTCTTTTTTCTTTTCTTTTCTATTCCACTCGCTCTCTCATCTTCTGATTTTTAAGATCATATCGTCTATTGTGTGTGTATGTCACCACAAAATGTATAATCTTTTCCGGTAAATCTTTAATGTATTAGACATCCGAGAATATTCATATTTCTATCACTTAAACCGTCTTTGGCTCCCCTCTTTAAAACTTCTCTCTGTTAAATTTTAATCCCCACTCCATCTTTAGACCTTCCTGTTCTTCTCTCGTCTGTTACCCCTCCCTATAGCTTTCATTTACTCTAACATTCGTCCCACACCCTCATACTTACACTCTCACTAAATTTTATTTTTTATTCCCGGAGTTGTTTTTTCTATTTTCTTTTTGAATTTGTAGGTCTGATGAATTGGATCGTATTTACGATTCCAATGGAATAAATTATGACCATGGAATATTAGTGTTTAAGCCTTTTTATTATATCCTTACTCTGTCCTGGATATTGAGTTCTACCTGGATTCTATCCTCTTGGAATTATTTTTTATACATATATATATATGTATGTGTATGTATGTATGTATGTATGTATGTATGTTTAGATATATGATTGCATATGTATATGTATATTAACCACTAATATGATATATATATATATATATATATATATATATATATATAAACAATTCAAATGCCGTAGTTTATCAAATAAAATGTCTACAGTGCAATAACATGTACATTGGAGAGACGTCAGTGATATAAAGGCCCGCATCCATGAACACAAAAGAGATTTGCGTTTAGATAAACATTCAAATTTTCTCGTATTACACCGCAACAACGTAGGATATAATTTTTATTTCACTAATGCCAACCTTATCAAAAAAAGAACATAACCTTTAAAAAGAAAAAAATATATATATATATATATATATATATATATATATATATATATATATATATAGCAATATTACCAACTATTCGCACACGTTTAAAAATATATTACATCACAATATTTCTACAGATGCATTATTCATGAATCTACCTTATCTCTTCCGAATACATAAAAATCAATATATATACAAAATAGGCAAGAGATATACTTTAATGAAAATTTTTTCAAACCATCCTGCAGCGTCTCACTAACCTTTACACACTTTACTATCCAGAATTTTCTCTTACACATATTTGAATATTATCTGTTACTTATTACACGTGAAACGTATCCTATCAAAACGTCCTACTGCATCTTACTAACTTTTACACACTTTAGCGTCGAGAATGTTTGCCACACATATTTAAATATTATGCGTTACTTCATTACACGTGACGCGTATCTAACCAATAAGAAATAGCTAAACACAATCTAACATTAATTTGCGTCTCTTTCATCATTTTTAATATTTGTATCTTATCTCTGACGAAGCTTTAATAAAGTGAAACATGTTAGATTAATATGTTTCCTATTGTTCTTTATCCTATCATATATATATATATATATATATATATATATATATATATATATATATTATTATTATATCTAATGTTATATCAAGGAAGTTAACTTTTTCTTGATATAACATTAGATTTAATTTTTTAGATCTTTTTTTTCTTGATACCGAAAATCTTTTTTGCCGTTGATAAAACCCAAAACAAAAAAACAGACGACATGCGTTGAACGGACGTGAAAATTCGTTGAAAAATGCACCCCGACCTTCCCTAGATTTAACCTCTTTTTCGAGCGTAACTCATAATTGAGACAATAATAGTTAATAAAAATGAACACGCTACCGCCCCCGTCTAAATGATTGGATTTCTTTGTATCCTTGGAAATAAAAAATTAGGAATTGTATGAGCGTTTAAAACACAGTATATTAAAAAATAAATTATTTCAAAATTCGCTTGAAGATGAAACGGATCTAATGCTTTTAACTTAATTATATAATGAAATTTGAAGTTTTTAATTTCGGTTTTTGAAACATGG